TTGTGCGTGTCTGAAATGCCTCTGGGGAAGAGAAGCTCACACTCAGTGGGAACCTTCAAGCTCCCTTAACCCCGGCCTCTTAAGGAATGTGAGGCTATAAGGTGCATAAATTATTCACCTTAAGGAACATTCTCAGAAACGAACAACAGGCTGTCGACATCACTAGCAGGGTGTTCCTTCTTTTCAGGGTTTGGACCTCTGCCCACTTTCTGAATTGTTGGGCGTTTCTAACTAGTAAAAATTCAGATTTTGGGGAAGAATGGACCTATGTTGTGCGTGGATTTCAGGGTGGCTCTGAGTTTCCGTTTCAGCCTCTCCTGCAGCGTCAGGGCAATGAGCACAGAGTCGTAGTCATGCTTCGTCTGAGAGGCAGCAGGCGTCCTGCTGTGACCCCAGGGCTGCCGAAATGGCCTATCTCTGTTCAAAGAGGTCTTTGCTACCTGTCAGTTGAGTTATCAGAAATTCATTCCATCTCTAAAACCTTTCCGAGGGCTTTGACTCTTTGGAAGACTCCTGTCATAATGTAAAACCTCAGGAGGGCAGAGGAGGATAACTAACATTTATCAAACACCTATTCCGTGGATGCATCCTCACCCACAAAATAAATATGCTTTACTAACTTGCCTTATTAGTTTTTCCTTTTAAATAATTAATCCATCACAGAAATACATAATATAAGAAAATTAAAGTTAAGAGAAAAGAAGAACCCCCTGCATTCCAGCCATCGGAGATCATCTCTGGTAACGGTGTGCCATATAATCCTCCAGGTTTTCTCTATGCTGATACTCACATGTACTAGCATCTTACTTTACCCATGAGGAGCATTCAACTGGGTTGACGTCTCTGAGTTGTCCTCCTGGCTTCTAAGATGGCATCCCTCAGGATTTTCTACTGACTGCTCTGGCTGACCAACCCGAGTGGCTTCTGCAGGTTTCTCCTCTGCTTGTCCACATATGTTGGAGTTTCTCAGAAGCCAGCCAGTCTGGATGTGCCGGGAAGTCTTGGTCACTCTTTTACCATTTTGTGTACCATCGCACACCATCTGCCCAAACATGGATCTCTCTTCTTGGCTCCAACCTCAGTGCCAAACCGCCTCCTGACATTTTCACTCGTGTGTCTTACAGAAACCCCAAACTTACTTTGAACAAAAGTGAGATGTTGAGCTCTCTCTTTCAAACTCCGCTGCTCTTTCATCTCAGAATCGGCACCTCTGTCTCCTGAATTGTGATTTGATTTCTTCCTCTTCCTTGTTCCCCATAGTCAATCCATTACATCCGGTCAATTCTGCCTGCAAATATATCCACATAGTACGATATCCACATTCTATTAAATGTAAAATATCTTGCTGCTGGTACTTTCTTAATTTTGACAGAAAGTGTCCATGGAATGTTTTTCACCATGCAACTACCTCACAATTGTTTCACGGTTGATAGCATTGAAAAATACCACTGACTGAAAATACGTCTTGATTTCAGGGAAGTATAAGCGTCAGAAAAAAATGTGGATCTTATTGCTGATGAACTAGATGATCTTAGCTCCATTTATGTCCAACTCTGTCACCACTATTCTAAAATAAGCCTTCTTCCATCTGGATTCATTGAGTATTTTATTATTCTTTGTATCTCTTTGTTGGCTTATTAGCTGTAACTCTTGCATTATTTTAGTGGCTGCCTTAGGGTTCATAATCTACATCTTTAACTTATCACAGTCTACCTTCAAGTGATATTATGCCACTTTACATACAGCATAAGAACATTGAACGAGTATACCTCTGTTTCCCTCCCCCGCTGGCCTTTATCCTATTCTTGTCACACATTTTATTTTTTGTCATACATTTAGAAGTTATAAATGGCAGACATTTAGATGTTATAAATCCCTGTAGTAGACGATGTTAATATTTTTGTTTAAACAGTCAATTATCTTCAAAGATATTTACATCGTGTAAACCAAAGGTGCATATTTACCCACATCGTCACCATTTCTAATGCTCTCGTGCCTTTGGGTCCATCCAGACTGCCATCTGCTGTCATTTTCCTTTCCCCCTCCTGGAGGACTCCCTTTAACATTTCTTGTAACACAGATCTGGCGGTGATGGATTTTTTCGGCTTCTGTGTGTATGAAAGACTTGACTTCGATTTCATTTTTGAAAGGTATTCGTTGCTGGGTATAGAATCCTAGGTCAATCTTTCTTCTTTCAGGGCTTTGAAGATCGGGCCACACTCCTCTCGCCTGCATCGTTTCTGACGAGAAAGTCGCCATCATTCTTATTTTCGTTCCTCTGCACCGAAAGCGAGAGGCAGAATAACGGCCCCTCAAAGATATCTGCATCCCAACCCCTGGAACCTGCGTCCATGTGAGATTACATGACAAATAAATGGATTCATCACTGGAGCCCCCAGAAAGAAACGTAGCCCTAACTGTGCTTTGAGCTCAGCCCAGGGAGACTCATTCGGACTTGCAAGCATCTAAGTTTGTGGTCATTTATTACAGCAGCAGTACGCATAACATGCCTTTTCCTTTTGGCTGCTTTTAATATTTTCCCTTTATCACTGGTTTTGAGCAACTTGATTATGATGTCCCTTGGCATAGTTTTCTTAATATTTCTTGTGCTTGGAGTTCTGAACTTCTTGAATCTTTGGGTGTACGGCTTCATACGTTTAGAAAATATTTAGTCATTGTTTCTTCAAATATTTTTTCTGTCTCCTTCCCCTTTAAGGGACTCCAGTTACAATATATTGACTGCTTTAAGTTGTCCCACAGCTCATCGATTCTCCTTTGTTTTGTAAAAGTTCTTTTTTTCCCCCTTTCCTGTTTTATTTTAGGTAGTTTTTATTGCTACATCTTCAAGTTCATTAATCTTTTCTTCTGCATTCTCTTTCTGTTGTTAATCTCATTTAGTGTATTTTTCATCTCAGACACTGTAGCTTCTATCTCTAGCAGTTTGACTTAGGTCTCTTAAAATATCTTCTTATTTCTACTTTTTCCTACGTAACTTTTTTCATATGTAGAATACAACAACAATAACTGTTGCAATGTCCTCTGCTGATTCTAATATCTATGTGTATTCTGGGCTGGATTAGATTGATTTCTCTCCTATGAATCATGTGTTTCTGCCTTTTTTTTTTTTTTTCATTCCTGGTAATCTTTTATTGGATGCCAGACATCATGACTGTTACCTTTCTGTGTAGTGGATATTTTTACACTCCTATAAATCTTTTTGAGCTTTGTTCTGGGATGCAGTTAAGTTACTTGGAAACAGTTTGATCCTGTCACATCATTTCTTTCTGACGTTAGGTGACCCAGAACAGTGCTCAGTCCGGAGCTCCTCGTTCCTCTCTATTAAGGTAAGACTTTTCTGAGTTCTCTACCTCATTCCCTAGGAGGTATGAGTCTTTAGGCTTTCTATAAATTTTTTGAGTTCGACTGGTTAGAACAGACACTATTCCCAGCCGCATGTGAACACCAGTCACCACTGCTCCCTCTAATCCTTTGGGACAGCTCCTCCCCCCACCTTTGCCAGTTTCCTCACATGCATGTGTTTGTTCATCAGTCCTCTGCTACATACTTGTGGGGGTGGGGAGACCTTTGCAAGTCTACGGGTTTTTACTTTGTGAAGCTCTCTTTCTTCTCGTGCTCTCTGCCTTAATAATTCTAACTGCGCTGATCTCCCCAGACTCTCCGCTCATCCTGCTCAACTTAGGGAATCCTTCCAGCTCTGCCACATCCCCATCCCTGTGCCACCACCCAGAAACCGTCTGAAGGCAACAAGCTGAGGCACCCTAGGGTTCAGCTCTTTCGTGTCCCTTCTCTGGTAGATCACTATCTTATCTTGCCGGAAGTCCAGTCGTTGTTTTTTTTAAACATTGTTTCATATAAAGTCTTTTTTTGAACGTGAGAGGGTAACCTTCATTCCTGTTTCTTCATCTTGACTGTCTTTGAGTTTATTAATTTTACTGTTGTGTCCAATCTTCAGTTAAACCCATCCAGGAAGTTTCAAGAAAAAAAAAAAGGAGACTTTTTTTAGAGCAGTTTTAGTTTCACAGAAAAATTGAGCAGAAAGTACAGAGAGTTCCCAGACATCTCCAGCCCTAACCATGCACAGCCTCCTCTACTACCGACATCCCACCCCAGGATGCACCCTCAGCTTGCTCAGTGGTTGGGCAGGAGCTTCCCCAGAAGAGGGTTTGAAGCTGAGAGTGAACCCCGAAAGAACGAACAGCTGGAGGCAGTCACAAAGCTGCACAGAAAATCTCTTCGTGAAAGGAAATCTGAATGTGTACACATCTCACATCTACCGTCTGGGGCACATTTTCTCATGGCTGAGACAGGGCCCAGCTGAGCAAGCCCACCTGCAAAAGCACATTGCAAGCCCCTGCTCACGTCACGTCTGTTAACATCCTATTGACCGGAGCAAGTCGCTTGGGCTAGTCCAACAGCGAGGGGCGAGGAGGTCCGCTCTGCCTGCATTAGGTCACGGCAAGGGCGGGTATGGACCAATAATTAGGTCCGCACAGGATAAAGGCCCTTTGTAAACTGTGGAGCTCTGTCTGCAGTAGTAGTAGTAGTTGTCGTTGTTGTTGTTGTTGTTGTTGTTATTATTATTATTATTATTATTATTGTTATTATTATTACTACTACTACTATCCGTCCAAGAGACCAGGTACCACAGACAACCCTCAGGAAGGACAATCACTTGACTAAAAACCAAAAGTCAGATTTAGTACCTGGAAGTCAAAACTGCAGCTTTGGGATGAGAAACGCCAAAGCACAACTGATGACCACGCCCTCCTCCCAGAGGCGGCTCTTGGGCTGGCCGGGCCGCTGGGCGCCCGTCGGCCTGGTGGATCAATAGCAATTTGGGGCGCTGGGGAGGGGCACCATCTGAGTAACTCAGATGAACTGAAAGCGATGAGCTCCGACCGCTCCGAGTCCTTGGGGGGATGCGCACGCATCATCCACTTAGCGCTGGAGCCTGGACATTCCCGGGGCGCACCCCCACCCTCCTCCTCCTGGAGGGGCCTGGGTGCTCCTGCCTCTTCTACCAGCACCTCCGGTCCTGCGAGGTCCTGGAAGGATGGAGGCTGCAGGGCCACCCCAGGCCAGGAAGTGCTGCCAGCAGGCCCTGGAGAAGCTCGTTCCTCGCCTCTGCTTCCTCTGTTCTCTGGTGACCTATGCCCTGGTGGGTGCTGTGCTCTTCTCAGCCATTGAGGGGAGCCAGGACCTGGGGGCCGATGACCAGGAGTTCGAGGAGTTCTTGGGGAAGCTCTGCAGCACGTTGACATGCAACAGGACTGGTATGTGGCTCACCTGGGCAGGGCGGCCTCTTCTCCGTGGGCGGGGGCAGCCCCCAGACAGCAGAGGGCTCCCTTATGGGAGGCTGGGTCTGAGAGCCTTTTGTGCGTAGCCTCCCCTTTCCTGGGTGACCTTAGGCCAGTGGCTTCTCCTCTCTGAGCCTCAGTTTTCTCCTCTGTAAATGGGGAGAATAACGGCTTCTTGGGGTTACTGTGAAGAATGTAGGAAAAGCGTGAGCACCCAGCAGCTACTCTGGAGAGCAGTCCTGTCCCTTTGCCTCAGCTCCCAGCCCCACCCAGACCCGCTGGCTCTGGGGAGGGTGAATTGCTGGAGATTGGGTGAGGTGGGGTGGGGTGGGTGGGTGACTGGATCTGGGGTAGGGTCTCCTAACCTGGTCCTCAGAACTATGCTTGTTACACCCCATGACTCAGTTTACAGGGACTAGAGTTCAAGGAACGATCCAAATTGGGCTTGGACACCCAAGATAGCGGCCTGCCCCCCTATTCTCTCACCTCCTGTTTCAAACAGCCCTTTCTGTTGTTGAACTCAGGGGATGGGGCAGGGATTGTGAGAAGAACTTGGAAGCCTGGTTCTAGTCCTCGTGGCTCTCCCAGCTTGTCATGTGATCCCAGGCAGAACTGTTACCCTCTCTGGGTCTCAGTGTGCTGGACATAAGGGGACCTACAATCACAGGGACCAAGGTAACAAACATGAAGCCTCTTGGTAGGCACAAGGCACTGTATATATATTCTTACTGTATTCGTTTGCATTCAGTTGCTTATTTCTACTAGAGGCAGGTCCTTCCTTTTGTCTGGGGCTGCCTAGAGGCTGGTCACAGGAGGCAGTCTCCCCTCCGTGGAGGGCCCTGCTCCTTCTCTCTGCATCTGTAGTAGACAGACGCATCCTACTAAACAGACCTGGGAGATGACATCTGCCATCACTGCTGCTCAGACACTCTGAGCCATCACTGGGTCTAGACTGTCAACAAGTTCAGGGCTTTCCAAACCTGGCCACGCATCTCTGTCTAAAATATGCGTTCCCAGGCTCTTCCCCAAATCCACTTAATCAAGATCTTTGGGCCTGAGCTCAGAATCTGATCATTTAAAAGTTTCCCAGGTGATTCTGTTGCTCAGAATGGTATGGGAACACATAGCTGGTCCAACCTCATTTTGTACCGATTTTCAATGGAGATTAAAATGCTCAATAAGCACTAAGCGCAGACCCTGTGCCAAACATTTTCTATGCATTAGCTCGCTTCCTCCTCATACCAACCCTATGAGGCGGGCGTGACCTGTGCCCCTTTTACCGATTAAGAAACCAAAGCACTGGGAGTTAAGCAGCTTGCCCGAGGTCACGCATTGGAAAGTGGAGCCAGGCATCCAACCCCAAGCATTGGACTCCTGAGCCAGAGCTTTCCACCACCACGTCATGCTGCCTCCCGGGTGGGGAAACTGAGGCTCAGAAAGAAGCCTCCAGGCCAAGGCTATGGGAAGTAGTCACTGTCAGGGCTGGGTGTAAAATGCAGGTCTGGGCTCCCAGGTTGGTGCCCATTCAAGTGAGCTGCGACTTTGTATTGTACGCCAGTCTCTGAGACATCCTCTTACAACTAACTGTTCCAGAGTCTGGCAGGTGGCTCCCAGGATCCCCAAAGCCACTGGCTGCTAGGCTAAAAGAACCATTTGGGAATCCCCTGAGAAGCCAGGGCTCCCAGACCTGTTTCTGCCAACCACCCCAGACATCCTCAGGCAGCGGGTGCCTACAGATTCCGGCACAATCACCAGCCTCCATCAAGCGTAACGACCTCCAGGAGTGGGTGCGGGTTGCAGCCATGTAGCAGCTTGCATTGCATAAGAGCCTTTTTGCTTTAAGTTCACAAGCATCTGGTGAGAGAGAGAGCAGAAGTTAGCATGCTCCTTTGCAAGGTGGAAGGAACGGAGGCTCAGAAAATTCAGACAGCCGTCCCATGGCTGAGCTCACACCAGACCCCTGGGGCCTCTCCCTCGGGTGCTGTCTGCAGGCACTGGAGCAGGACCTAACTGCAGAGACATTTAAAAGCCGGGCTCTGAGAGCCAAGTTTTGGTGCTGATGGGCCCATAAGATGGGCGGGGCGGGGGGGGGGGCTGCTGGTCCCTGGGGAAGACTCCCGTTCACCTGGGCAGGACCTGTCTTGAAGGGCGGAACCCTCTCCCTCACTCTGGCCCTCTCTTTCTTGAGTTATGGAAGGCAAGAAGCGGGATCTCGGGGAGCTGCTGCTGAAGGTGAAGCCCCAGTGGTTTAGCAGGTCTACGGACTGGTCCTTTCTGAGCTCGCTCTTTTTCTGCTGCACTGTGATCAGCACCGTGGGTAAGTTCAAGGGCAAGGTTGGGCCTGGCAGAGAGACCTGGGGTCGAGGGGTGGCGGGAAGGGGGATGCTGGTGACCCTTGGTGAGGATGCTGGAACATTCCATTCATTCGCTGGAACATTCCATTCATTTACTGTGGAAGGCCTACACTGTGCCAGTCCTACTGTGCATAGGTGGGCACTGTTCCCAGCTCCGGGGACGCAGCAGAGAGCAGGGCTGTCACTGGCCCATAAGGCATCTTCGTGCGAATTAGAAAAGAATGCCCTTCCTTCAGGGGGGTGCAGCACCAAGCCTGGGCGTAGACCCCCCCCACCAGCTGGGCGTGGGCTGCAATCCAGCCCCTCCTGGCCCCTCAGCTGAGTGCTCTGTACAAAACACCGCCTGCCAACAGCACCTGCCAGCCCAGGCCCCCGGGCACCCAGACATGGTCAGCATGTGATGTGCTCGGGGTTTTGTGGGAGCACAGAGTTGGGGCAGCTGCCGCAGGCTTGGGGGTGATCTGAGAGGCAAGACTGAAGTGGTGAGCACCTGTTAAAGCCTCCCTGGAGGGGATGACAGCTACGCGAGGCAGAGGCGGGAGCAGGAGGCACCAGCGTGGGCAAAGGCGAGGCGTGAAATTGAGAGGCAAGACTGAAGTGGTGAGCACCTGTTAAAGCCTCCCTGGAGGGGATGACAGCTACGCGAGGCAGAGGCGGGAGCAGGAGGCACCAGCGTGGGCGAAGGCGAGGCCTGAAGACAGCACCCCAGGCCCAGAGGACGGATGCGCCAAGGAATGTGCCCAGCATTGCAGGGAGGTGGAGTTAGGGCTGGGCCCGTGAGAGAGAGAGAGGAGGGGCCCGACCTGGGGAAGGCTCTGCCCGCCCAGCTAAGGAGGTTGGGTTTGTCCTCAGGGCAGTGGCCAGCGTCCAGAGGGTTTTAAGCAAGGGAAGGACATGCTAGCTCAGCATTCTAGAAAGATCACTCCAGCTCCAGCATGGAGGTTGGCCAGAGAGGGTAAGAAAGGCAGCAGGGAGACCAGAAGGGAGGTTTCTGCAACAGCCTTGGAGAGAGATGACAGCGGTGGCCTGATCTAGGACGACGGTCATGAGGATGGAGAGGGGCGAGTTGAAGGAGGACTTTAAGGAAAGTCCGCGGTGGGCAGATGCGAAGGGGAGGAGGAGGAGGAGGAAGACGCCAAGGTCTCTAGCTTGGGTGGGTAGCCTGGGTGGGCTTGGGCGACTCTGGACCTGGAGTGGCGGTGATGATTCAGGGCGTCAAGGTTGAGGCTCCAGTCGCGCCTCCAGGTGGAGACACTCGGCCCTGCTGGGTATGCGGGTCTAGACAGACCTCTGGGCAAAGGGCAGCGGGAGGAGGTGGGTTTCGTTGTCACCAGCGCCCCCAGGTGGTTTCTTTCGGAACTGGTCTCAGTCGCCGGGTACAGTGGGAGTAACGCGCAGAAACAATAGCAACAGCTACGCTCCTGAGCACTGACGAGCGCCGGACCGCTGCGAACGTGCTTTATATGCATTATCTTATTTAATTCTCAACCCTATGACTGTCCCATTCAGCAGCGGGCTAAGGCTCTGACAGGGAGGTCATTGCCAGTGAGGCAGAGGCAGGGCATAGCTGCCCTTTTCAGGGGGGCCTACAGCTCAAGAGAACACTTTAAGGGGGCAGCAGTCACAAGGAGCAGCCACTATGGGGAAGATGCTGGCAGTGAGCAGGGGGCCAGGAGTACACGGTTTGGTTTGGTTTTTCTCGCCAGAACTTCGGGGGATTGATCACATGCGGCGTTTCTAAGTCTTGTCACTATTGGCATCTTGCACTAGATGATTCTTTTTGCACTAGATGATTCTTTGCTGTGGGTGATCATCCTGTGCATTGCAGGATGTTTAGCAGCATCCCTGGCCTCTATCCACTGGATGTACCCACCTCTTCCTCCGTGGTACACACCAGTTCTAACAGCCAAAATATCTCCAGGCTTCAACGAAGGTCCCCTGGGGGGCAAAATTGCCCCCTACTGAGAGCCACTGACCCAGTGCAATGGTTATCAAACGATGGGCCCTGGACCAGTAGCCTGAGCCTCATCCGAGAATGTGTCAGGAATTCAAGTTAATTCTCAGGCCCCATCCGACACCTACTGAGTCAGAAACCATGGATGTGGGGCCCAGCGACCTGTGTTTCAACAAGTTCTCTGGGTAATTCTGACGCACATGAACACGTGAGAAGCAGTGACTCGATGCTGGTGTTCTCGGCCCTGGCTGCCCTTCAGGATCACTAGGATGTCTTTTAGAAGCTCCCATTCCTGGCCCCCACTCCCCACCAATCAAGTCAGAATCTCTGGGAACGGGCCCACGCATCAGTCTTTTCCAGTGTCCTCCAGGCGGTGCTATTGGGAGTCCAGGCTGCAAACCACTGATCTAATGGGAATTAGCTTGGTTTAAATCCCAAGACAATGACGTTACTACCCACAGGACAAGTCGATTAGGCTATCAGGCTGTCCGGTAATTACAACTGGAAGAGGATGTTGGGGAAGGTTCTGCACTGCCTGTAATCGATAATGATGTTTGAAGGTCCTGCTGGTAATGCTGTGTCCTGCTCTGCATCTCTGGGTCACCTGAAATGCACCTGGCCTTGATGCCGGGGAAGGGACACCTGAGAGGTGTGAGGTTGGCCAATCCCCAGTCATTTCCAATTGGGTCAGCCCCCTTGGATTAGAGAGATAAGTGCCTGGGCTATTAAGCCCTCACAGCCTAAGTGGAGTGGACTGATCGTTATGGACTCTATAAGTGCACTAGAAGAAATGATATGATTTTCTGTTATGCATTTCAGCATTCAGTAATCAGGATAGTTAATACATTTCCTTCACAGGGGAGGTGTGCTCTCTAAGACTTGCTTCCTTGATGAGTTTTCTAAAATGCAGCGTGTCTTCTGGATTGTAAACATACCCCACCCAGAGGCAGCCATGAAGTCTTTTCTTATAATCTGCTAAACCCACCTTTGTCAAGGAGAGCACTGGGTTGGGCATGTGTGTCGGGGGAGGACTTCGGGTGAGGGGTTCCTACTCTTGTCACCCGGGGGCTGTGTGACCCTGGACACGTCACCTGATTGTCCATTCAATGTGGTGGTAATGGTGGTTGCCAGCATTAGGGGTTTTGCTATGCAGGGAATTTTGACTCCAAAAAGCGTTTTATAAATCTCGTCAGAAAGGTGATATTCTTTCCTTAGGGGAAAAAAAACCAAAAAAGATCTGACCCGTACTTGCGTCTGGGGAATTTCTGCTGTGGAGTCTCTCCTGACTTTTCTGGGGGTGCACTAGACCTGGGGGCTTATCGACTGTCTGGAAAACACGGTCACCCCTATCTATAAGTCCTCATGGCCGCTGCTGATATCCTTAAGGGCTGTTGGCTCTGTGGGGCCCATGACATGCTTGGGCATGGGGATCTTTGCTAACACCCAGGGCCCGGACTCCTCTGGGACATCATGGCCTGGCCCCTCTGAGCTCCTGGCACCCCCTCCCTCCTTGTCCCTGCCCCGGGGGATCTCTCCATGCCCTCCTCCATGGCTAGAGCGACCTACTCCCTGGTTGGCCCGGGAATGGCATGGCTCTGGCACCGGAAGCCCCACGTCCTGGGAAACCCCGCAGGCCTGGCCATCCCATCTATGGCCCACCCTGACCCCGTCCTTCCTCTCCCTTAAATCCTGCCCCCACTGTGATCTCCTCAGTGTTTCTGGGCTTTCACTGAAGCCTGCATAAGAAGCCGTCCAGAGGCCACGCCTGCAACTTCCCATCCTTGAGGGGAGGCCCGCAGCTGCTGGTGACCTTCAGGGAACAAGGAAGGGGAATAGAGGCAATCAAACGCCTCGGCACTCTCTCAGGAGGCCAGCCCCAGGGAACAAACCCGGTGTTGAATGGGACACTTAGCTGATGCGGTCCCCACTTCGGACCCCAGAGCCTGTACCCGTTGGGTCCTTACTGCATCCTGCCGGGAGGGAGGAGAGCCAAGCTCAAGGCTATGAATCCCTGTCATCTAGGAGCTCCCAGAGGGCGAGACCTCTGCCTGCTCCCTGTGGACCCCCAACCTCATCCACAAGAGCCTAGTATAAAGTAGATGCTCAAGAAATGCGAGATCCAGGCTGGGTGTCTTTGTGCTAATCGCTCACCCAATGGCCTGCTTTTTTATGTCCCATTCTTGGTCTCCAGCTGTAATTCCATACTCACTAGTGACGTTGTTGGACTCGTCACTGCCTCCTGTGCCGAACCAGAACTCGGTGGGGTTGGATCCCATAATTTGCTCAGCACTGTGTCCCCAGCACACTCAGTCAGCACTCAAAACACACCTCTAACATGAATGCACATACAGAGTTAACTGCCCTGCCGTCATCTGGCACCTATGGAACCAGCCAGGGTGGCGTGGAGCGCTCTGGAACAGGTGCAAACTGCTAAGACCATTGAGGACCACTGTCCTCTCCCAGGACCCTGGTGCCATGGGCAACTGAAGCACCAGCACAGCCCTGGAGGGCGGAGTCAGAGGCCAGAGTCTGCCACGCAGAGCTGCAGCCCTCAAGGAGCTTGGGGCGTCGGCAGCCTAGCGATTGCCTTCAAATTAATTTACATAATTGAATTGGATTTTCCGTATTAATTATCCTTTATGACATAAAAAATTAAACATGGGCATTAAATACAAAAACTTCCTTCTGTTCATTGAAGTCACTGAGGGCAGCCATTGTATTTTATTCACCTTCCATCTTCCTACTGTCCCAAATACACTGCTGTACCCATTGTTGGTACATAATAATTGCCTATTATATAGAAGCAAACAAATTAAGAGGCCCAGACATTCCAAGAAGGACCAGGGTGGCTTCTTAGAAACCAGTGCCTTCATGGAGGATGATGGAGGTGATGGGTACGATTGCAAAGCCATCTGCAGCCTGTGCTCATCCTGTCCTTCGGATGAACTGGGCATGGAGGTGATGGGTACGATTGCAAAGCCATCTGCACCCTCTTGCCTGTGCTCATCCTGTCCTTCGGATGAACTGGGTCCATCCTCATGTGGGTGCTCAGAAACGGCCACGGCAGAATGAAAGGCAACGAGCTCACCCCCAAACACGTGCCTGTCCCCTGCCAAGGCCATTTCAGGTCAACGACCTGGACACGAGTTGTTCCTTATCATAAGGAAAAGCTCAGCGTGTCACTCCAGCTCCCCCTACCGAAGCGGGGGGAGCCACGTAAGTGGATGAGTGTTTTAGGATGAATATTTGCAAACGCGTTGTGTCAATGCCAAGGCGGGGAAATGGCAGAAGTCTCTTTAAAGCTTTTTTGGGAGGGGGAGGAGCACATGACAATCCCAGTCTCTGCCCTCTTTCTCAGGTTACGGCCATATCTATCCCGTCACCAGGCTCGGCAAGTATTTGTGCATGCTCTACGCGCTCTTTGGCATTCCCCTGATGGTCCTGGTCCTCACGGACACAGGTGACATCCTGGCAACCATCTTATCCACATCTTACAATCGGTTCCGAAAACTCCTGTTCCTCAGCCCTCACCTTCCCAAATGGTGCTCCAGACTGCTTTGCAGGAGAAAGCCTGACACCAAGCCCGTGGACCAAGCCATCCCCAGGATCGTCATCGATGGCCAAGAGCTCACTGGCCCCACCCCTGGCAGGTGTTCCTTGGCCCCAAGCATCAACATGGAGCTGCTTGAGAGGCTTCTTGCACGCGAGAAACAGAACACACTGCGACCGCCGTCACAGGCCGCGGAGAGGAGGAACTCGTGTCCCGAGCTGGTGTCCGGGAGACTCTCATACTCCATCATCAGCAACCTGGACGAGGTGGGACAGCAGGTGGAGCAGCTGGACGTCCCCCTGCCCATCATCGCCCTCATTGTTTTCGCCTACATCTCCTGTGCAGCCGCCATCCTGCCCACCTGGGAGAAGCACATGGACTTCGAGGGCGCCTTCTACTTCTGCTTCGTCACGCTGACCACCATTGGCTTTGGGGATACCATTTTAGAACACCCTCACTTCTTCCTGTTCTTCTCCCTCTACATCATCGTTGGGATGGAGATTGTGTGCATCGCCTTCAAGCTGGTGCAGAACAGGCTGATTCGCTTCTACAAAAATCTCATTCTGCTCTTCACAAAAGGGACGTTTTAGGACGCGGCTAAAAAGTGAAGGCTCTGCTGTCTCTTGTATGACGTGGGAGGGCTCAGCTGGTTTCCTTGCCTTGTCTTTTGGGGCAGTGGCATTAAAACTGGTGGCACTGCGGCCTGTCACCTGAGACCTTGGGGCGTGCATGAGGGCCGATTTCAGTCTTGAGGCCCTGCAGAAATGTGGCCAATGCCCTCTGTATCAGGACGTTAGACAGAAAGTATCGCCATTCCCTCAAAGTCCAATTAATTTCCCTGTTTTCACTTTTAAAAAGCACCGCTGTCTGTAGATGAAACAATCTTATGGAAGTCACCAGTTTTCTTGCAACACGAGAAAAAAAATTACCTTTGTTCTTGCAATTTGTACTTCATGCTAAATTGAAATCTTCCGCAGCTGCTTCCTGTTTACCCTGGATGAACAGAGCCAGTCTGAGCAGCCCTCTTTTCCTAAATGACTGCGTGAATACGCGTGAGATCAGCCCCATCCCAGCCCTTGTGAAATACGCCGATGCCACTGAGTGGAACTGTCACCTGTGTTCACAGTGGATGGGGCTACTTCCTGAATGCCAGATTTTGTGCAGAACGATGTTATCACTAGGTGGCACGTGATTAGCACCTCCTGGATGAGTTGGCACGTGAAAGTGTCGATGCTTAAGCAAATGGATTGGTACACGAGAGGGTTGGCACACACGGGGAAGATACACTCCTGAGCTGTTCATGAATGAGTCGGCTTGTGAATGGGCCAGTCTGTGTGCCAGATGCTGTGTGCGCCCCACCTATATGCCCTAGTTCTCCAGCTTCCTTTGCCTGAAAACTTTCTCTGGCCACCGAAGCATTGGCATGTGCAGGGCAGGCTAGAAGTGCCAAGGAGTTAAGCCCCGTGGGAGTGACTGGAGAGGTATACAGTGCCCAGCTTGTTGCCCCTCCCACGCTTTAAGTCTAGGGCATGGATAACACTGTTCCCCAGCTGAATGGAGCCTCAGTTGCTCACAAGCACACCTGTATTTGCTGCCTTCATCCTCCCTGTCCCAGGTTGCCACTCTGTGGCCGCAAAGCCTATGGACCAAAGTTCTAGTCCTGGGAGAGGATGTAACGAGACAGTGTGTGAATTGGTCGGCATACACATGGGTCTTACTGTTTCCTTGGTTAGTTATGAGAAATGACTGATTTGAGAGAGTCAGAGTTTCTCTGAGAGAATCTTGAGAAAATCCATCTGCATCCCGTGATTAGCAAAATGAGTCCATCCCTAGGTAAATGGTGAGTTTTGCTACAGGGTATAAAACAACAATTACGAGAACCAATGAAAAGTGCCAGGAGATTCTAGTTCGAAAACAAAGGAAGCAGGTATGGTTTGAAGGGCTCTTCCAAGTTCATTTCAAAATGCACCGGGTGCATGCTGTTTTCCCAGGCTCAAAGAAGAATCAGGTACAGCCCTAGAAAGTGCAGGTAATTAGTTACAGGTGGTGATGAATCTCTCAGCCACTCCCTTCTGGATTCAGTAGAAAGAGATGTTCAAATGCAAACATGGAGCTTATCAGGGACACAGATACAAATTAAAGGTCATGATCACTGGCTTCTTTCATTCGCTAGTGGCTACTCTGTGGTTCTCAGGACACGGCTCGGAATGCCTTCCTGCTCCTCACTTCTCACCCCTCTAACCCCTGCACCCTATATCCAGCTCCCTATTTTCTTCGCATTCCTGTGAAGGAGTGTGAATTCCTTCTTCCAAGCCTTTGCTTGGTGGTTTTCGACCTCGCCTGTACACCTGAGGAACGTCGAAGAATTCTTGTGCCACGGGCGCAGAAACGCCCCATGCACAGCTCACCTTGGACTTCTCAGGACCTGGACCAAAGCCTGTGGCGGAGGCGCTGACCCAGAGGCTTTGGGGGTCGTCCTGTCCAGTTGCCCGCCAGCCCAGCACATGATATTGTTAGCTCCTCTCCACTTTTTTTTTTTTTAACAGAAGAGGAAACTGAAGTTCAGGGACATTTAGGTCAAGATGACAGCCAAGGAGAAGATGGGGAGGTAGAGGATGAAGGGAGTCATTCTGGGAGGCCCAACCCCGGGGAACCCCGAGGGGCCGTGAGAGCGGGCGCTGTCAAAGGAAGGGCAGCCGGGGCCGGCCGGCGCAGGCGGGCGGGCTCGGGACTCCGCGCTCGCGCGGTGGGGGAGCTGATGGAGCAACCTCTCCCTCCAGGACGCTAGGATGGTGTTGGGCTGTGAAGCTGGCGGGGTCGGCTGGCCGGGCCGCGCTTTCCCAGGCGACCACCAGGTGGCGCCGCCAGACCGCGCGGGCTCCGCGCTCCGGCTCCGCAGGTGGCCTGTCCGCTGCTTGGCGCCTGGCAGCTCTACCACCGCCAGGCGCCTCCAAGACGGGGCCTCCGGGAGTGGGTGTCACCCGCCGTGGCCCTCTGAGAGGGGACGCCGCAGACTTCTGGCCTCACCGCGGTCCCCGCGGAGGAGGCTCCTTGGACCCCTGCCCCCAGCCGCGGACACCCAGGGTAGCAGCACCTCGGACCCATGTCCTCGGAGCAGCTCTCTCTCGAGGTGCTGGGGGGCGGGAGGCTTCGGACTCCTGTCCTTGCCGTGGCTGCCCCTTGTTCTTCAGATCACGTGTCCTGCCAAGCTAAGGTCAGTGCCATGTTATTATCACTGAGTCCTAGCCACTTAACACTAGATGTCCTGTCATTAGGCCCTGGATGCTTCCTTTCCTGATCCACCAGCCTCAATCTGGAGAGTGGGGCCGCCTGGCAGATCATCCGGAGCTTGCAAGAAGGACACCTAGAACCTTCAACAATGTACAGATGCCCTGATCACCTGAGATCTACAGCGTTGGAACCCCAAGAATGGCCGTAGTGTTGGGGCTGTAGCTTGCTATTTCTAACTTTGCCAGGTGATTCTCACCTGGTGAGATTAAGAGCCACTCTCTCAAAGGAGTTGGGGACGGGGCGGGAACAGGCCTCACAGGAAGGCGGCTTGGGAGGCCTAGTGCTTCCTGGGAGGGCCGCTGGGAACACACCTGCTTGGGTGCCAGTCCTGCTGTAACTTTGCTCTGTGAGTGACCCAGAGAAGTGCTTCTGGGTCTCTCCAGAGAGGAGACGACTGGCCTGGGCATTCCATGTGGCCCTGCTGACCTCCGGGATGCAGATGTCTTGCCTTGTCACCGAAAGAGAGCCTGCGCTGTGGTGGGTGGCAAGTAGGAGTGACCTGGTCCCCTAGGACCATGCCCTGGCACGCGGGCTGCGGGATGTGTCGCTCTGACCTGGGCCTCTCAGTGCTGACCGGGAAGAGGCTGTGTGGCTTAGGGGTTGAAACCTCGGCCTGTGGACGCAGTCTGCCTGGGCAGCCTCGGACCTTGGCAGGTTCCTTTACCTGTCAGATTGACATAAAAATAGTACCTACCTCCAAGGGCCGTTATGAGGATCAAACAAGATAATCCATGAGAAGTGCTGTAGCCCAGCGCCCAGGTTTGTGAGCTCTTGAAAAAAATCCTAGCTTCCCCATTATTGTCATTAGGAGGCAAAAATGGCATGTTTCAGCTTCCTCCAGCACCCTCCCCCCACGCCCCACTGCCTGGGGTTGGGAGAAAGGGGGTAGATAGTAAGGCAAGAGCCTAGTGTATTTAGCATCAGCCTGCAGGATGCTCTCAGTGAGCCCCCATGATTTTGGGGTGTCTCGATCTTGCGGTTCTCAGACAGTATGGGCAGCCCCACCCAGGTTGGGCACCCTCAGCTGTGAACACTCCAGTGCACGTGGGATGGGAGGCATTCTTCCCCAGCTCCCCACGTAGTGCTGTACCCTTCTTCCCCAGCCTGTCTGTCACCTTCTCTGGGCTTACGCAAGATTGCCCGATGGGTGCCCTCTCTCTCTCTCTGTCTGTCTCTCTGTCTGTCTCTCAGTCTGTCTGTCTCTGTCTCTCTGTCTGTCTCTCTGTCTGTCTCTCTGTCTCTCTCTCTGTCTCTCTCTCTGTCTCTCTGTCTGTCTCTCTGTCTCTGTCTGTCTCTCTGTCTCTCTCGCTCTCTGCCTTTGCTGGGCCCCCCTCATTGTTCTCCGTGCTCCAGTGTTTCCACGTGGAGCCCTTTGCTTCTTCCCCGTCTCCACTCCCTCCCTCGGGCCTCATCTACTCTGTGGATACTAATACCACCCCCAGTCCTGGCTGCTCCCCAGAACTCCAGATTCAAAACGGCTTTGCCAGCACCTCTAACTGACCTGTCCAAGACCGAGCTCTAATCTTGTTCGTGGGTCCTGTTCTTCCTCATCCTGAGAGCCGCAGCCCCAGCGTTCCAGTTGCTCAAGTCAGAGGCCTGGGAGGCTGCCTCGACTTGGCTTTCTTTTCTTTCCCACTGTGACTTGAGAGGCACGTGTGTGGCTTTTAAGAAGCACCCCCCCCGCCCCAATTTTGAGTGTACCTCCCAGAGATTCTGATGCAGCCAATTTCAGGTAGGGCCCGGCATTTTAGAAGCTCCCAGGTGACTCTGGTTGCTTATCCATTCATTTACTCATTCACACACCCTTGTGAGTGAGCACTGCGTGCCAGGCACTAGAGGTATAGCCCTTAAGAGAGCACTTCTGATGCACAGGCGCTTAGTGGGTGCTCATGCGTGATTGCTGGGCAAAGGTGCATCCAGTAGGGTTGGTGATCCAGACCCCTCTCTCCCTGCCACAGACCCGAGAAGACAGCTGGATGATAGAGGAACCGGGCTGAGTGAGTCCTCAGACTTCTCATCAACCATGGTCCCGAGCTTGTCTCCCCATCTAGCTTCCTGGAAGCCAGGCACGAGCCATGGCTGGCAGGGGGCTGTCCAGGGTCAGACATCCTGGACAGCCTGACTGTTGCCATGGTGACCAATGTGCATCTGTTCAACTGAGAACTTTGAAGTTGACTTGGATGTGGGACAACAAAGGGCACCTCCATCTCTTGGCTTCTTTTCATCCTCCTCAACCCTTTTCTGCTCTGCTTTTGTTCTGGCCATTTACATCAGACAATAAAACCCTTTCAAATGCTAT